AATACACACATGCATTTTACTCCAGAAGCCTCATCCTTTGAAATGGCTAAAGAAAATAGGAAAATACAATCTCTACCCAAACAAATGCTGACTTAATAAAGACTGAATATGGGACACTAGTTCAACAGAAGGATCTAATTACTGGATATGATGTTATAAAATGAACTATTCTGGATGATGTATCAGACCCACAGCTTATCTAGGCCCACATTCTGTTCACACAGTGGTCCATCAGGTGCCCTTTCTTCAGTTGTTCTGGTAGGAAGTTTTTGTTAATGTCTGCTGAGATGGAACTTGGAGAAACAGCACTACACCTACTGGCAGGACATGACTAGAGCATTCCACCCTTGAAAATACCCAGTTTTGTCTGACTTTGGAAAGTAAGAAACAGCAGGTGTGATTAGTACTTTGCATGGAAGACCACCAGGGAGCATTGGGGATGTCTATGTAGGCCTAGTAAAGAATCCTGTCTGAAAACATTAAGAGTCATTGTTACCACACAGAGGCTGACATCCTATTAGGGATTTAGATGTGTAAATGCCATGTGTATGCACATGGACATCCTTTTTTGGGCACTGTGGGGGTTGGTATTCTCTTCCTCCCTCTGCAGCACTCAATTCCCCCTAACTTACTAAACAGCCTCTGAAACCCCTACATTCTCTGCTATGTGGGGAACAGGCAGGATCACAGAAGTGTCTCCCTATAACCACATGTGAAATGCTGACATCAGTGCTGAGATCTCCTGGGGTCCTCAAGGGGTCCCATTGCTACTGTAATAATTTTGCATCTGGGTATGGGTGCCAGAAACTTATGTGATCCTGCCTGCTCCCCATGAAGCAGGGAATGACCATAGAGGGGAGCTTCAGAAGTTGTTCGGGAAGTCAGTGGGATGGTATATGGCTCAGTCTAGAGTAGGTCCATATGCAGACCTACTACATTATGTTGAGCCACATAGGATTGCAGCCAAGTTAACAATACAGTACTTGGCTAGATTCATTCATGGTAACAGATGAGGATAAGGTAACAGCACTCTTCTTGGTGTGTCCTCCAGCCCCAGCGCCAGCCCCAGTTGTCCTCAACAGTACAAATCCATCCCAAGTAGGAGTTTCAGATCTCAGGGCCTAGCCCTGATTCTCAGAACCCAACTCCTGTTCTCCATCGTCAGGGGATGGAGAGAGATTCCAGCCTTGAAAATTGCATATATATCTATGTCCTCATCCTTCTGTTGCTACAGGATGCTGATTGCATGCTGTTCAAAGCAGAGTCTCAGAACAACTTTCTTTGATTTGACTAAGGCCACTGCCACACTGCAAAATTAATGCAGTTTAATACCACTTTAACTGTCATGGCTCCAGACTATGGAATACTGGGATTTGTAGTTTGTTGTGGCACAGCAATCTCTGATAGACAAAACTACAAATCCCAGAATTTTATAGCATTGAGCCATGGCAGTTAAAACAGTGTCAAACTTATTAATTTTTCAGTGCAAATGCAACCTAGAACACCCATGTCTTTAAAAGCAGTGCTTGCAAAGGTGTTAAAAGTGTCTTTAAAAGCAGAGCTGGGAAAAGTGTGTGTCTCTCTCTCTTTTGTTCAATGACAACACTGGGAAAGTTAATTTCCCTAGAGAAATATTTTCTCATTTGAATGATCTTGCCTGCACAAGTGTGGTTGGTGCTTTATGTTTCATGTTTCATTACATCAACAGGGACCTCAGATATGGAGTCTGAAATCTCAGGGCCTGGGATGCTCCTGATTTGGTAATCCTTATCCAAACTAAGGATTAGGCCACAACAGAGCTGAGAGTGGCAGAAAACTGTTTACTGCTGGATAAAATGAAGACTACGCATAGTTTCCAATGTCGGCCTAGCCAACATAGTTGATGTTGTTTGGGATGATGGGAACTTCGGCTGAGCACCTTCAGGGACACACATCCTCTGTCTCTGCTACAAATGATACAAGCTTTATACATTAGATCAATGCTTTCTTTACATGTTCAATCATTTCTTCAGTAGGCACATTTTTCTATAAGTTCCTAATTATCTGCCTTTCCTTTCCATTAACTTAGCATTCTAATCCCAAATGCCATTTTTAAAAACATTAATGATGATGCATGTGTGCATAGGGGTTGTTGTTCTTAACTAAAACATACTGAATATGTGCTTGTGAGCTTGCTTAGTGTCTTCTGGAACAAAGTTGGAAGAACTGGTACAGCTTGAGTATCCCTTATTCAGAATTTTGAAATTTCAAATCCTTCAAAATCCAAAACCTTTTGAGCTATGCACCTGTATTGTATTTATGATGTTAAGAGAGATGTGAAATCTGTAAAGTGGTGGGAGGTCTGGATCTTGTGCCAGTCACCATGCTTGGATTTCTGCCATTTCACAGATCCTTAGTCTCTCTCCAACCTCAGTATGTCTCATTATGTATATGCAAATACAGGTATTCCAAAATCCCTCCCCAATAAAAAAAATCCTAAATACAGAACACATCTGGTCCCAAGCATTTTGGAGAAAGGATATTCAACCTCTACTGCTCAAAGCAGTAGAAATGTGAGTGAAGAGGCAAACTCAAACTTGCAGGATAGGAACTGTACTTGATCTCTGCAACACTCTGAATTACACTGACAAAGTCAGAGACAGAACAAAAAACAAAAACAAGTTTTACAATAAACTAGTTACTAGCAACAGGTATGACATAAGGGTGGGGGCTGAATCCTAACCTCAAATCTACACATTGTTGTGCAGAGGAAAGCAATACATACATCATTTAAGAAAAAAGTTGTTATTCGATGTTTTATCATAAATGTGGAGAAAAAACCATTACAAAACCTCAAAATACTCATTTGCTATTTATTAAAGTTTGAAAGGCCCATAGGGCCTTAGAATAGCCAGAAGAAGAACATATAAATATATACCTCATTTTGCCAGGGAATAGAGACAGAGCCTGTGGAAAACTTGGAATAGAAATCATCATCTGTTTGGTCCAGGTTCACTCCCTTGACAGTTGAAAATTGTTCTATATCCAATACGTCTTTGCAGTACACTGCTCGAGGCTGCCCCAGCACAAGAAGGAAAGAATGTAAGAGAACCTGAACACGTAGTTGAAGTGATAAGTAAGAAGGGTTAAGAGTAAGACTGTATTATAAAAATAACAATGCCTTGCTATTCCTCCTAGGTGTGGTAACAATCAGTATCTAAAAGCATTTCTATATGAATCAGTATGAGCAACTGATCAATTTGTTAATCTAGGATTACACATGTGAACATTCAAAAATTATATTTTAAACAGAGCTATCTTGAGAGGATGTTTAGTGGCATGTTGCAACTGTAGTTGAATCCCTGGATTCATCTTGTTTATTTAAAAGTTTGTATGAAATGAGTTGCAGCCCACTATAGTTTACATCACAATAAAGTTGTCTGTAGCAGCAAAACCAACACAGTGTCTTGAAATAACTTAAATATAATTATTCCCTTTGAAATTATTTATCTGTGTTTTTATTCCAAGCAAACAGTTACAGTCATGAGATACCCTTGGCTACTGCATTGAGATGCCCAATATTTTATACACTCCTTTTTTTCAAGAGGAGGTGAGCGCAGCAAAAAGTCAGATCACTTTCTGATTTGAAAAAAGATCTTCATAGGACCAAAAAAGGTAAGGGGAGGGAGGGGAAGTGGCTAAAAATGTGGCAAAATAGCCATTAGTACCTTCAAGGTTTGGGGCAGTACTGGCCAATGGAAGTAAAAGGTTTTTCACCTCCACAATTCTGGGAATGGGAGAAGGGTGGAAATGAGGGTGCAGCTCTTCAGGGTAGTGTTGGGGCCAATGTGGCTCCCAGCAGACCTACATATAGGCAGCCTAGTAGATGCCTACTCTTAATCCTCTTAGATACAGTATTTTCTGGCGTATAAGACTACTTTTTCACCCAGGAAAATCTTCTCCAAAGTCGGGGGT